TCTTTTTTTTTTTCATTATCATTCTCTTCCTTTCTGTGCTTCTTATTGTTTATTTCTTATTTTTTATTTATTTTACAATTTTTCAATCTCAAAAGTCAGAATTATGTGAATAAAAAATCGACAATGATTTTCTATCTAATACTTTGTTGCATAATATATTTCTTGGATTTGAAATTGCGAAAATGTGTTTACGCATGTTTATTAATTAAAATATAATTAAAAAACTTTAGAAATTGATGTAAAGAATAGACTTATGGACTATATATATGGTATATACTGTATAAAGGAGAAGTGATTAACGAAAAAACAATAACCAATCGTGGATTTGATTCTAACCTGTAGCGCGCATGTTGTAAAACTTTTTAACGAACCATCACCTGATATTTATAGCTAAGATTCTTTGAAGAAATTATTCGAACGTTGGATTTACGGTTTTAAGGATTTGGCGAATGATCTTACTGATTCAACATCAAGGCCCTTTTCGCTTTGATCGTGAGAGAGAAATACGTAATTTACACCTTCTAGTTCGGCAATTTTCTTAATAGATTCTTTTGCTTTCTTCATATTATGCGTAGTAATCGGCGGTGCCAATTGAATGGAAGGGGAAAAAGACGGAAAGGAAGGAAGGTTCATCATACAATCGCCGATCAAAATTGAATTCGATGGACGATGAAGGTATGACATTGATCCTAACGTTCGTTGCACAAGTTTAGTCATCATCAAGTTTATTTATTGCAGAGGAAAATCCAAAAATCTTAATTACTGTACCAGGTGTGTGGCCAAATGTGCAAATTGGTTCTAATGTTTCGAAGAATTCGAATTCATTTTCTTTCCCTTCTTCCAAGGCCAAAATTTTATCTCTGCTTACAATCACTTTAGTTGGATTAGCAAAATGCTTATAAGCTTGATAAATATACGTATCACCACTTAGTTCACTGTACTGTACACCGTCCGCAATGAAGGGAAGTTCCGGTTGACCCAAAATAACCTTCAAGTCTTTATATTCTTCCAATAATCTTGGAATTGCACCAGTGTGATCAAAATGACAGTGGGTTATTACTACATATTTGAGATTGTGGTTGGGAAATGAGGCGAAATGCGCAGAGATGGCGGATAATAGTTTTTGTGGACTTCCTGGATCGGCAGCATCAACAAGAACCCAATTTTGGGAATTAGGAATATGCACAAGGAATATAGAAACAGGCAAAGTGCATAAACCGAAACCGAAACTATAACCGAATGTTGCTCGATATAGGCCGGTGAAGATTTCTACGAATTTTTCGAAGTCAGGAACGGATGTAAATGAAATCATTTTCTTAATTTCCATCGGAAGACCACGGACGTTCAGTTATTTATATAAGAGGATTTCTCGTTACCAAAATTCAAGAAAATTCCAAAAACGCGATGGCGTAAAGTTGTACATGCCAGAAAAAAGGTAATTAGTTGATTATTTGGACCTTAGGACGTCCATGGTAGTATTTGTGTGAAACCGAGCGTTACATTATTTGGGTTCAGAAAATAACATCGACACGAAAACGATATCTAATAAAACACGGTCATATACAAAATGAAGGTTCAAATTTGAAACTCTAGAGATCGTGTTGAATGCACTCGCTATTCTTTCTATTAAGCAGTAATGGTTAAATTGATTAAGCATGTGTAGTAATACAGTATTATGATCTCAAGGTTTTATTTTTCTGTTGAAAATCATAGGCCTCTGGTGAAAGGGCACAGGATTTAAATGAGTATTGATGAGAGTCCAATTCTGTTGATTAAAGATTTGCGAAATAGGAAAATCGAGGCTAGAATTATCTCATTAGGTGTGTCGCTAATCTTAGTGATAACCGTTCAATTAATTCATTTTGCATTTTAATGACGTCTTATTGCTAAGAAATGTGTTGGCGCCTACATGAGCATCATTAGTCATGAAACTGTACAGCGTGAGTGATGAAGTGCATCGTTCTTTCAAGGTCCGAAAACAAAGAAAAAGACAATTGAGCCAAATTCGATATTTCAAGATAAAACAAGGAGAGAATTTGCATCGCATGAGTAATAGCTTCAAAACAAAAAACAAACAGACGCCTTGTTTTGTTTATTTTCTGGAGACAATAATTGTGTCCTAAGAATACGAAGAATGTTAGGTAAACTGATTTACATAATTGATGTGTTGTTGTTTACTGGGGTAAAAAGAAAAACCAATCTAGGATACATTTTTATTTATTACATCGACAATCATATCAATCATATAGCATTTACTACTGTACACTTATCACATGAAATGTCTATAGTTGTAATCTAACAAATACAATATACAGTATACGTTATACGTTTACTCCAAACTATTGACAAGAAAGGAAACCCCGTAATCACAAATGGATCTGGTACTCAAAAAGAAGACATACGGTAAAGAGTGAACACGCGATAGCAACATAGTCATTGTCTATAGGATCAAATAATATGAAATTTATTGGTGACTTCCCGTTAATAGAGGCATATGAAGACTTGCGTAGATTGTAGCTCGGATAAAATATGCACAAATCAGTTGCAGGATGCAAACATATTAAATCTGTTCTTTATCCTTTATGTTACATAAAGTATGTTCATCTAAGGTAATTGCCGTTTATGTTAGGCTTCTTTGTGTGCGTCGAATTGGAAGCAAAATCACATTTTTTGAAAAGTTTTCGATGACAATAAATTTTTAAAATGAGATGCGAAAGTGAGTTCCTGCAGTGTTATGGGATGCTTTCAAATATGAAGTTCCAATAAAATACCGTAATGGGTCTTACGCGGAGTAACGAAATTGCCGCGATTTCAGGGCTCATGCAATAACGACTATTTTGTATTAATAGCCATATGCGCGATCTATTGTAGTACTTACCAGAACTTTGTTATACACCTAATCCATGCATATCTAAAGAATTTACCATTTAGGAGTTGAGCGCAATTCTGACACAACGTAAGTCAATTTCAGTTTCGGGTGGAAAAAAGTAAATTCGAAAAAGGCGACACAATTTTAACGACGAATGGGCATCCGTGTAAACAAATTCCAAATTCACGCAAAACAAATAATGCGGTAGTTTTAAAATAATGTTTGTTTTTCTTTTCTTTAAAGTTCGTCAAATTTGCTACCTTAACTATACTGTATATCATTGAATTGAATTTGAGTGTACCTAAAAATACAATTCGAGGTCTGGTGACTCTACCGCTGTGGAATAACGCGCGTGATTCACCAGAGAAATGCACGCTAAATTTAGAAAAAAAAAAAAAAGCAACTCGATCGACACTGTCAGATACGACTTTTCTTTTCATTGTATTCTGTTAACAGATGCGATAATTGTACAATGTCTTGTCATTTAACAGAATAACATGTGATGGCAACCGTCGAATACGTCTATGTGACAACACGTGAAAGTCACAAGATAATTCGATATATTCCAAAGAAGGAACTCTTTCTCGTAAAAAGATGTGGAGGAGGTCATACCGCGTGATTTCTTATAGAACGACGAGATTCATTCGTGTGCCAGCTTTAATTGGTTAGCTTTGGAAAAAAAATTCTCTCGATCAAGTGAGTTATTTATCCATATTGATAACACCAAAATTTTTGAGGGGAACTATGCCTTCTACCAAAGGAGAAGAGAATTCAAGTGATCAGATTGTACATCCTATCAAATAACTCGATTTCTTGATCTCGGTTCGGATAGGAAGTTTGGAAATAAAGGATTATCTTAAAATGGTCGAGCGATAGTCGTACCATGCAAGAAGGCTAACGGTCAAATGGTGATTTTGATTGGATAACAAGCTATTTTTGAAGGGTTCCTTAGTTTACCTTTACGATTGGGTAAGGTCGCATTAGCGTTAGTTACGTGCAACGAGGAATTTATAAATGTACAAGCTGCTTTTCGGTTAGCATATCCTCTCCGGGTTACCACTTTCCGTCGTTTATCACATAGCAGGCAGATAAAGGCGAAGGAGTGAAAGAGTAGTGTGAATAAATAATAAATAAGGGGGTTGATAATAATGATAATTATCTTTTTGATCAATTGATGCGATGTAGGAGGATTCAAAAGGAGAAATTGAAGGCATAGGAGGTTTATTATGGACACTAGTTGTCCAACAAGTTTATTTTACAATTTTACAGATTGTGTATCCGATAAAGTTATCGGCAAAGCTCTGATTTTTTTTTTTTTTTCCTTTAAAAAAATAAAAATATTCCAAAATGCAGCATATAACTTGTTTCTGCGTATTGTTTATGGTCTCTTGACTAATACTTTATTTTCACTTGCTGCAGTCAGCATCCTTCACCAATACTGATACAAAGCTTTATTTTATTTTTATTTTACTTTTTTATTTATTTATTATTTATTTATTTACTTTCTCAAAAGGCTCTTTTTCAAAATTGGAATGGTGATTCATGCGTCCCGTAGAACAATAAGATATACTGCGTATGCACATATAACAACCGTAATAGCAACAAAAAGGTGATTTCTTGTTTTGTGCAACCATTGTGTGAGAATACTTTTTTTATAGTTTTCGTCAGAATACCTTTGCGTGTCACATTCAGTGCGAGTTTATATAAATTCCCTGGTGGTCGAGATTGAAAGCTCCCTCAAGAAATTTTTTCTTTTTTTCTTTTTTTAAAAGGATTCTTTTAATCCATAAACGCATACATTCGGCCTTTTCTTTTTCTTCACAATCAAATTTTGATTTTTCGCACTGAAGGTTTTTTTTCTTTTATTTTTCTTTTATAATAGACAGACTCTTTAAAAAAACCTACAATATTTGAAAAAAATGACAAAGACGCAAAACCATAATCACGAAAAGAAGGAGTCGGAAGATGCCGCATTCATAGTGTCGGACGACCCTTCAGAATTTGATCCAGTTCAGGAAATCGCATTTCAATTTGGCATAGATTTCATCAATCACTCGGATTTCGAGGATATTCAACTCATCAAGACGGAACCAAAGGTTGTGGTGAGTCGAGCGATATGGAAAGAACAATCACGGCAAGTCGCTTTGAAACAAATCCTTGGCGACAATGATGAAGAGGTCCATAAGAAATTAGAGACTGAGGTATGTCGATCAACTGACAAATTTATTAATTATTTATTCATGCAGTATTTAGAATAGTGGGGTTGTACGATCATTGGAGGTGGCGTTCTTAAAGCACAAAGGCAATCATTGTCTGATAATGTTATATATATTGTGCAAAATTACCTATTTCAACGTTGAACCAATTTTAAAAAGAATAACAAATGGAGAAATAATGTACATGGCGTTTCTTCAGTCATATGTTGCTTACTGTAAAAAATATTTGTTCAAATGTTCTTTAGATAATGCGTGCTTTGCAAAATTTGGATCATGACAACTTAATGCAACTTTATGGCGTTACCCAAGGTATGATTCGGGTTTTTCGGTTGTGATGACTTTTTGGCGCATCATCCTCTTTACCACCCATCTTCATTCTCCGTCTCTATTTACAGATTACGAGTCAAATAGTTGCATGATTGTATTGCAATTAGCCAAAAGCGGTAATTTACGAGAATACATGACTGCGAATCCCGAATCACCATGGATTAATAGACTACGAATCGCGAGGGATATAGCACACGGGCTAAGGCGACTGCATAAAGCTGGTGTGATTCATGGGGATCTCGTAAGTGTCCTTCTAACTGAATGTTTCTTCATGCATGCATCTTCCTGACCTGAATTCTTTTTCAATTTATTTATATTAGCATGCAAAAAACATATTTATCGATGACGGCAAGGCATTCATAAGAGCACCACGTATGATCGCATACGATGATGAATCAACGCCAAATTACAACGAGTCACCAGAGGTAATCCCCTACGTGGACCCTAGATTGATAGCCGACATGGATTTTCGACCAGATCGAGGTTCCGACATATACAGTCTTGGTGTGGTATTGTGGGAGATATCAAGTCAAAGACCACCCTTCGAGAACTCTGAAAATCACGTGAGACTCACCGTCGACATATTGGCTAAAAAAATACGTGAACAGCCCATACCCAACACTCCAGAGGATTATGTAAAGCTGTATGAGGACTGTTGGCAGCATGACGCCGCGTCGAGACCAACGATCGATGAGGTCTGCGATAAGTTGGATGAATTCCTGAAGGATGATCCACTCTCGTCCCACCTCAGAAAAATCAGATCGATCGGTAAATATGCGTTTCTAATCTCTTCATGTAGTTAATCGAAATTGCATTGTTTAGTAATGTGAAATGATCATTTCTATTTAAAGGATCTGATGAGGAAGAATTTACGTTCGAAGAAGTAAGCACACTTCAAATTATCCTCGCACATCGCTCTGCTTTAAACTCTTTTTTATTTATGCTTTCGTTTTATCTTCAAGGACCCTCTGCCGCAATCGTTACCAATCAAAACCGGAAACGGTCATTCCCAGTTATCAAACGGAAATCGCGAAGTTAGAAAACAGAAGTAAGCAAATTTCATGAATCTGAAGGTGTTATTCTTTTAGTTAAATCGAAAATTTTTGATATTAATTACCTCTTTCTCTTCAAGTGGGTCTATTCGTTCGGAATCGAATAACGATAACATGATCAAGAAACAAACCAAACGAACTTCAAAATTATTCAAAACTTTCAAATTAGATGTCCAGAAGACGAAGTCTCGATTGGCGCACGCCTGGTCAAGGATGTCGTGCACTGGTCGCGGGCATGTTCATGACGACAGAGAAAACGAGAGAAAAAAATGATTCGTGATTTAATTGGCATAAATGACAACATATTAAAAAAAATAGACATACTTTACATCGGCAAAATATTTCTTCACTTTCTCCCGCAAAACCTTAAGTAAAAATAAATAATTAATTAATCTAAAAATAATGTAGTAAGTACACTTGAAAAAAAAAAAAAACTTAAAAAAATAATTCTTAAAAAAAAACATCCCTTCTTTTCTATTGAACTTATTTTCTACTTTAGTGATACATTATCCAATACAAGGCAAAATTTTATAGACATATGTACAGTATATAGACTAAGTATTAAAATAGATTTAAATATTTATTTGTTGTATTTATTTAAAAAAAAATACATAAAAATATGTAAATTAAACCTTTATTTTATAAAAAAGAAAAAAAACCTATTGTTTTTCTATTTAATATTTTTGGTATAAACATAAATTTCAATTGTAATAAGTTTGATAAAATGTTTAACTATTCAAATTCCTGCTTACGTAATAAAAAGACAAAAACTTTTGAATATTGTATGAATTATATATACATACATATATTAATTATATTAAACAATAAAATGATTATTATATATAATATATTATGTAATTTTTAAAAAATTACAGTTTTCTATATTATATAACTTGATATTATCTTTATATTTCATATAATAATCATTTAAATATCATAAAAATTTACAAAGATATTTTTGAAAACCTATAACTTGAAGCTACTTAAAAACATTCTTAAATATTTCTTATTATTTGTATACTTAGATCTTAGATTTAATATAAATTATAAATTTTTATTTGATCAAATTCAAATATATATATATATAAGTTAATATAAAAAATATAATATAGGATTTCAATTGTTTTACAAAAAATACAATATTTTAAAATTTTTTTTTGTTTATTACATAATAAAAACTTACTTGTTTTATAAGTTTTAAAAATATATTTGAATAACATTTTATAAAATTTTAATAATTTTTTTGTTTAATTATAACATAAAATATAAAAAAAAATTATAATTCATATTATATATATTACTTATATTTTAACTTATTATTTTAAACAAGTTAAATAAGAACAAATAAATATTTACAATAATAATAATAATAAATAATTGAAAATTAATTTTAAAAAAAAAAAAACTCTTTTTTACTCCTCCTTCTATACTTGAAAATTTTCTTTTTAGAAAATTTTTCTTTTATAAACCTGCTCTTCATAATATCAATCCCCTGGCCAGTTGATTTCCTTTTCTCAAAACTATACTCAGAAGTGATAACTTCTCTTAAGACATGAGCTTTAGAATTTTTCTCTCTTCCATGGCCTTATAAAAAAAAGATAGATGGTTTACTCTCTCTAAAAGATTGATATGATCATCATTATCAAATCCAGTGTTGTTTACTTATTAATAGTTAAATTAGATATATTTAAGAAACCAATATACAACTATTATTATCCAAAAATATTCAAGGAGTTGTGTTTCACTGTATTCAAAAAGATATGGCAGCCAATACCAATATAGCTAACATTGAGCTAGATTAGTTTGCAGGTGTTATGCTAGTGATTAAAGAAACCTAATAGAATAATACATAAAGATCAGAGATTCTAGTTATTCTTACAATATGAGCTGGTGATGACAACAAAAGTTTTTTGCTCACTCTTCTAACAATTTAGACTTATAGTACAAGATTAGATAACAACATTTATAAGAAATTCCAACTCCATTACATTTGACAATTTCTCTTAACAACTATTACTATACATTCAAGCACTCCTCTTTCACTTTCCTCTGTCTTATACCAGTGCTGGATTTTACTTAAATACTTAAATGGTGTGGCTATGCATGCAAAGCTTTTTGTAAAAAGTAGATATCCTCTTCCCTACTTGTCTCAGGTATAGGCAACTGCCACAGGCCTGGTCAACCTGTAATTTATCGCAATTCTAGAAGGATAGAGAAGGTCAAATACTAGGTGATTAAATGAAAGATTAATCTCCACTAGATATCTGAGCCAGAATAGTAACCACTTAACTAATTGAGCAGTTATTCAAATGAAATATAAGGTGGAACATATTCAGTTTGCCATACATTAAGCCATATTTGGAAAGCAAACTTGCCAATTCTAGTTATAACTTGAAGACCAACCTGTATATAGTAGCTGTAATGCTTTCATATGATTAGGTATCAAATTTTTCTAGGTAGTTAGACATCATTCGAGACATAATATAGGTTTTGAACTTCTTTTTTCTATATTTTTGGATGGTGCTAAGGAGCATAGAGGATAGATCGTATTTGCGAAGCCTTGCATTTAACTTTTCCTAACAAAAAGAGATGTATGTTATATTGTAAATATGTTATAAATCTTGTACTGCAAGTTTAAAATTATAATAATAAAATAAAATATAATAGCCTTCTGCTCCTTTAAAAATAAAAATAATAATAATAATTGAAAATTAATTTATAATTTTTTTTTTTTTTTTTTACTTGTAAAAGAATATTAGATGCAAAACTTTATTGATATATAAGATTATACTCAAGTTATATTAAACATCTTTATATACAGTATTACATAAATTAATGTTAACATATTTACAATGCTAACTATCACTATCCTTGATACACTTAATGTACTTTAAATTAGTTTTAGTACTGGATAGTTAATGCCCTTCCAGAGCTGATACAAGTACTTGCATTTTGAGTAGATTGCTGCTTGGGTCTGTTTATGGGTTCATTGTTTCTATGATTAGTTCTATTAGAGATAACTCTTCTGAAGAGTTCCGTTGTGTAGTGGTTCTGTTATTGCTTATGGTTATGTGGAGATACCACTCCATTTAATTCCTGAAGCTATTGAGGTGTTGGCTGTTGCCAACCTGGATACCCAAATCAATGTGTAAAGTAGTACTAAGGCTTTATTTGCAAATTTGGCTTGGCTTTTTGCTAATAAGTGAAAATCTATTTCTGTCATTCCATTTGTGATTTTGTCCAGTCCTGACCTTCTTTCCAAGCTTAGTCTTTATATTTGATTGTTTACATTGTCTGGTTCCTTTTTTGGACTGCTTTTGTTTAAAAGCTTTATTAAGCTTTTCTTAAGTTTGGTTTCGATTTCTTTATAAGTGATATGCTTTTGTAGCACTTAAAGATATGTTTCTGGATCTCTGCTTTAGTAAGACATCTGGGGCACAGATTATCTTTATATGTGTTGGGATACCTTTTATGAAGGAATTGTCTGGTAGAAAGTATTCCACTAATCATTTTTGCTCTGAAGACTAGTAATGAGAAGCAATTTATCTTGTTCTTTTTGATAAAAAGTTTGTTTACTTTTGTTAAAGTCTGGAGATTAGATATTTTTATGCTGGTGTTCCATATTTTTCCAATTGAAGAGCTATTCATAATGTTAATGAGTCTGAAAATGTGCTACACTTTTTTGATCCATGTTACAGAACTATAACTCCACTTGTTTTTAATTCTTAGCCCTGTAATATAGTCTATTGGCTCTATTATATTGTCAATTCTTATAATTGACTCGATGTCTTGCTGTTCTAGAGAAGTTGGATTCTTTTTTAACCTTAGCTTGATATTTTTTTCACTACAGATAGTATTGATACTTTCGATTAGAAAACTGTACAGTGTTTTAACTTTTTGGTTAAAATATTCTGACATTTTCAACTCAATTTTTCTGGATGTATTGATCAAGATATATGATTGATTATTTGCTGCTCCTACCAGACTGAGAATTCCTAGAAGAATGTTGATTGGTTGTGGGTTGTTGGAGTGGAATGCCATACTTGTGTTGTGTCCATATACCTTTAAAAGCTCTTCTTTCACTACCAAATCAAACTGGAAAAATAGGCAATCTAGATTGATGACCTGTTTAATATCTTCTATTGTTTTAGAATTTAGACAAGCCTCTGGTCTTCTGTTTTCTCGAAAGCTGATTTCTACTGTTAGATTTGTTGTTGGGATCATTTTATGCTATAGTAAAGCCAAATCTCCTCTGTAAAGTTAGCCAGACAATATTCATTGTTGGCCTTATATATCCAAAGAGACATTGCTTTCTCAATTGATATATTCATTTGATGTATATTGCTATGACAATAGCACTTCTTGAGAGTTTTGTCAGCCTCCAGTTTATAATACTTGTCTTTGATAAGAGATTGTATACTGTTGCAATTAATTCTTGCCTTAATAAAGCTCAGTTTGTTGTTGTGGATATGGATCCAGAATCTGGCTTTTGTGTTGGGAATACATGTTGAAGTGCCTTTATATCCAGGTGTGATGTTGATATTGATAAACCAACTGGGAATAGGTCCTTTCAGGATTGGACGGAAGTGTATATTGAACTCATGCCAAGACAGTTTGTTGCTTGTTCTAAATACTAGTAAGTTCTCAAGGAACCTTATATTGCCTCTATGCAAACCTAGAGCTTGACGTCTCAAGTATTTATTTCTAAAGAAGAAGTACAACCCTAGGGATTGCTGGCCTTTGGCATGATTAAATAGATAGTTGACTGGGCATATGTTGATTTGATACTTTTTATACAATACTGCTGTTTGTGTAATCCATGTTTCTGGGAACACTCCTGGGTGACATAATGGGCAGAGCCAAATGGTATGACTGATTTGAAAAGAGTTAATTTCTGTTTTTACAACCTCTTGCGTTTTTATATTGCTTAGTTTAGCTACAAGAAGCTTTATTAATATGAGGTTTTATCTATCTGAGAAGTTTTTGAGATTGAGGTTGGCTTGTGAATATGCTATTTTATCCGATATGATTTTTCTTACTTTCAGCCTTTTTTTGATTAGATTATTTGCTTTGATTTGAAGATTTTGTACTTGACCTTTGGAAAAAAAGCTTGAAAGAAAAGTATAGTTGAGTTTGCTAGGAATAATCCAGTCCAGCATCTGTTTTGTTATTGGGCTGTTCTATTTTTGTTTGTAATATGCTTCTATGATCTAATATATATATGTTGCTGAAATTTGTAAATCCTTGACACAATTGACACAATTATTTGATGC